CTAATTTGCATCCCTTTTACGAAAAAGGGATGCAATCTAGACGTAGCCTACATGTTTTGTTAGTATTTAAGGTGCTACTAGTTTATTTGTTGTTTAAGTTTTTTCTTATCCACGGTAATCCCCAGGTCCTTTTCTACTGAACTGCTGCTTATCAATGTCATCTGCAAACTTTGAGGGTGCAATCCATCCCCTCATCCAGGTCATTAACAAAGATGAAGAACAAAACTGGAACTAGTACTGACCCTAGCAGCACTCTGCTTGATACCGACTGCAAATCAGACATTGAGCCATTGATCACTACCTGTTGAGCCCTATCATCGAGCCAGCCTTCTATCCATTTACAGTCCATATATCCAATCCATACTACTTTAACTTGCTGGCAAGAATACTGTGGGAGACCATATCAAAAGCATTGCTAAAGTCAATGTATATCACATCCACTGCCTTCCCCATGTCCACAGAGCCAGTTACCTTGTTGCAGAAGGCAATCAAGTTGGTCAGGCATGCATTGCCCTTGGTGAATCCATTTTGACTGTTCCTGATTATTTTCCTCGCTTCAAAATGGATTCCTTGAAGATCCCCTCCAAGATGAATTGGACAGTGTGCAATAATGGATAGGGCTGGGAGTTACAGCTATAGGCCAACAAAAAGGAACTAAAAGGAATTTGGGCTCATTTTGTCCCTTATGCCATGAGATGGTGGGCAGGGGAAGAGTATCTAGGGCATAAGTGAATGGAAACTGCTAAACCAGTAACATCCAGTCTTGAGTGCACACACTCCAAGGCTATGTCTACACTGGCGGCTTCTTGCGCAAGATGTTCTTGTGCAAGAAAATGTCCACACTGCCATGTGCGAGCTGTGCTTTTGCGCAAGAGCACCCATGGCGGTGTGGACGCTCTCTTGCACAAGAAAGCTCTGATGGCCATTTAACCATAGGGCTTTCTTGTGCAAGACATCCCTGCTGAGCGTCCACACTGCCCTCTTGTGCAAGAGCTCTGGCGCAAGAGGGCTTACACCTGTTAAAAAAGAGCGTAGCTCTTGCTCAAGAAGCCCTCTCTTACCACGCCGTACTGTAAATTTCCTTGCGCTAGAGCGGGCGAGCAGTGTGGATGCTCTACAGATTCTTGTGCAAGAATGGCCGTACTTGCGCAAGAAGCCGCTAGCGTAGACATAGCCCAAGAGTAGAATAGGCATGGACCAGCACTTGCTGAAGAGGAAATTTCTGTGTGCGCATTCCAGGATCTTGTTAAAATCTGAGGAAGTGGGTCTGGCCCACGAAAGCTCATCATCTAATAAACCATCTTGTTAGTCTTTAAAGTGCTACATTGTCCTGCATTTTGTTAAAATCTATTTAAGATATTCAGCTTTTTTTTTTTTGAGTTGCATCTTTCCCCCTCCCACCTTCATAGTTTTTAGTAGTTTTAAATCACATTAGCTTTTTGGTTTTAATCCAGCTGCCATCAGTCTAACATTGAATATGCCCCCTAGTGGAGTATTTCAAGCTCACAAAGGTTAGGATTTTTATTTTCCTATCAGACCATGGTTCCCCACTACTTTGATTGTAATAAGATTATATTTGACTTGTGATTCTGTAGAGTGATTTTTTTAAATGGCACTTTAT